GGGGTCTGCGCAGTATATTGTGGGGGGTCTGCGCTGTATAGGGGGATCTGCGCAGTATATTGTGGGGGTCTGCGCTGTATATGGGGGGTCTGCGCAGTATATTGTGGGGTCTGTGAAGTATATTGGGGTGGCCTGTTTGTTACATGTGGGGGGGCAGTGTATTATATTTGGGGGCTGTGCGTTAGATGGTGAGCTGTACAGTACGTGTGGCCTGTGTGTTAGATGTGTACAACCCTAGTTTCACTGAACAATATTTATTTCCTAGATATCATATGCCATGGCATGCTTTTTGCTATGAAACCGCAGCCATCTAGTCACTCGCCAGAGAAGGATGAGAAACTGCACCCCAGCGAGAGGGACAGCCCCACATCTGCAACCAAATCCGTCGGTCACCGAATTCAGTAATCTCCGTCTCTTTGTGCATTGTGTATGTATGGTACTCCCAATTCTTATATTTAATCCGGTGTGTCTGTCTGCTGTATGTATGTGGCACGCAAGTCTGCACGCACTGTGTCTGTTATGCCAGTTACTCTAACCAGTTTATTTCTTTTTGTGTGTGTCACAGCTCTGATGAGCATGTTCTCCTATGGGACACGAAGTACATGAAGAGGAATGAAGAAGCCCATGTTTGATGCTCGTCTCCAGGGTGGAGTATTGAATTTATAACTAATGAAGTGGCATCTGACACATGACAAGCTGCTCCTGTTTGCACAGCAACTTCAACATTGTGTACTGTGATCACGGCATAGTTGAGAGGTAGGTAACCTTGGGCAGTCCAGATGCTGTGAATTACATCTCCCATAATGCTGGCAAACCATCATGGGAGGTGTAGTGCAAAATATCTGGAATACCAAATGCGGATGAATGCAAAGTATGGTGTGTGTGAATGGTCAGTAACAAGGGTTGAAGCCTTGACGTGGCGTTACTGCTCACATGTGTATTCATGTGCCAATTCAACCAATGTGAGTCACTGTAATACTTATAAGGTAACCAAAAGTACTGTGATTGTGGAGAATGAAACACCTGTATCACCTACACGCTGTTTACACTGTGACCGTATCTCCTACACACTGCTTACACTGTGACCGTATCTCCTACACACTGCTTACACTGTGACCGTATCTCCTTAACACTGCTTACATTGTGACCGTATCTCCTACACACTGCTTACACTGTGACCGTATCTCCTACACACTGCTTACACTGTAACCGTATCTCCTAAACACTGCTCATACTGTGACCGTATCTCCTAAACACTGCTTACATTGTGACCGTATCTCCTACACACTGCTTACACTGTGACCGTATCTCCTAAACACTGCTTACATTGTGACCGTATCTCCTACACACTGCTTACACTGTGACCGTATCTCCTAAACACTGCTTACACTGTGACCGTATCTCCTACACACTGCTTACACTGTGACAGTATCTCCTATACACTGCTGACACTGCGACCGTATCTCCTATACACTGCTGACACTGTGACAGTATCTCCTATACACTGCTTACACTGTGACCGTATCTCCTAAACACTGCTCACACTGTGACCGTATCTCCTAAACACTGCTCACACTGTGACCGTATCTCCTAAACACTGCTTACACTGTGACCGTATTTCCTAAACACTGCTTACACTGTGACCGTATCTCCTAAACACTGCTGACACTGTGACCGTATCTCCTAAACACTGCTGACACTGTGACCGTATCTCCTATACACTGCTTACACTGTGACCGTATCTCCTATGCACTGCTTACACTGTGACCCAATCGCCTATACACTGCTTACACTGTGATCCAATCGCCTAAACACTGCTTACACTGTGACCCAATCGCCTACACACTGCTTACACTGTGAATGTTAGTTTTTTCAAGTTAGTTTTAGTGTTTGCGGTTTCATTGATTTGTTAACCACTCTCCTCAATCTTCTGTTCTGTGTTTTCTTACATTTGTGGGAAGAACAAGGTGATCCTCTCAATTTTACACTCCTTTACTGATGGTTCCAGTGCCAGAGACAAACCCACCACCATTAACCTCAACCTGCTCAAACAGAAGAGATTACCTTCTTCTATAGAAAACGTCCATATGGCTGTTTCGGAACACATGCTGCAGACATGATTTAACCTTCATTTTCCAGTGATTAAGAATCGTGGACCGTCCAGGGAAAGAGACCATTATATTATTAAGATACTACCTTCCTAATGCCATACAGCCTTTCTTTACATGTGATTGAACTTTCTCCTTCTTGGATACCACAGTGTGACTTTTCTTAACCAGTTTCCAAATTTGACTTTTATATTTTTTCCACTATACATATAAAGTCTAAAATACATATTAACTTTGAAGAAATAAAGTATTTTGCTGACACCTTAACATGCGATTTGTGTTACTTAGCTACAAATAATACCATCACTAGCTGCGTTCCATTATAGTTTCTCAGAAACTGCAATATTTAACATTGCAGGGTTAAGGGGACATTGGCACTGCACCCAAACCATTTAAACGAGATGACGTGGGCATTTAAAGAGCAACTTCTTACTATGCTTATTGCTATCTTTTGAAAGTCATCACATTTATAAGCAAAACTATGCATAGGTACAGTGACAAGAGGACCTATATGCACCATAAATTATCATATGTTGTTACAAAGCCATATTTCCTAACAGTCCTGGATTGTTTAGTAGAGTCCCAGTTTGGGTTTGCTCTCCACTGTCCCACAATAATTAACAAGTTAACATTATTACAGACAAATTACTGTACATTTAAAAATTAAGAGTTTTAATTTGTTTTAAAGGTGGCAATATAAAAAAGACAAACAATATTTAAATTTCTAATTTAACAAAATTGAAAAAGTACGTTGTCCATTAATTACATAATAATTGCACATGTGACCTAATATCAGATATTGTTATTGTCACCCCCCCTTACTCTGTCACCCCCATCTAACCCTGTCACGCCTCCCTTACTGTCACCTCACCTCATCACCCCTTGTCACCCCCCTCTTACGGTCACCTCACCATCACCCCCTCACTCTGTCATCCTCCTCACACTATGTCACCCACCCTCACTGTCACTCACCCTTACTCTGTCACCCATACTCTCACATTACGTCACCCCCCTCTTACTCTATCATTCCCCCCTCACCTCATCACCCTCCCTCTCACACTATGTCACCCTCCCTCCATGCACACCGTCAACCCTCAACACGCAGGCACCCTCCTGCTCTTTTACACTACCTGCCACAGTTACCCCTTTACTCACCCTGTCACCCCCCCAAAGGCAATCATTATACACACCGTCATAAAACATAGCTTCGCTATAAACTCAGTGCCAAAGGCCAGTCAGTACACAAACATATACATGCTCAGAGAAACATACATACAGATACAAGGATACTCACTGTCAGATACACACACTCAGGTAGACAATGCAATGATGTAAACAGAGACTAGCTCTGTGTATCCAGTGCTGCAAGCTCCACCAGGGACGTTTTAGCCACGAGGCAAACAAGGCATTTGCCCTGGGCATTTGGGGGTGGCTTTTTTTGCCGCCCCCAAATGCCCAGGGCAAATGCCTTGTTAGCCTTGTGGCTAACTGACATGCTGGGCTGGCGGGCGGCATGGCGAGGGAGCACTTCCTCTGAGCTGTCTGCTCAGCTCCCTCGCGCGCCACAGAGTGAGGCTGGTAGCCGGAACATGACGTCATATTCCGGCTCCCAGTGCAGCGCGTGAGGGAGCTGAGCAGACAACTCAGAGGAAGTGCTCCCTCGCCAGCTGCCCGTCTGCCGCCCCATCAGCCCGACCGGCAGCTCCACTAGACCCCAGGGAGATAGAGAAACCCCCCCCCAGCATTAGCAAAGGTAAGGAGGCTGGGGGTGTAAATTTCAAAAAAAATTTGAGTGTGTCTGTTAGAGAGTGTGAGTGTGTCTGTTAGTGTGTGTGTGTGTGTCTGACTGTGTCTGTTAGTGAGTGTGTCTGTTAGTGAGTGTGTCTGTTTCTGTTAGCTAGGGCAGCACAAAACCAGGATACACCACTGAGCTCCACCATCAATATATCTACAGCTTCTTATACACAAAGTCAACTGCTATTTTTTCTTCAATAATGGTGTTTCTCCGTGGGGTCTCATGTATGAGTTTCGCCTAAGGCCTCGCCAAGTCTAGAGCCGGCACTGCAGTACAGCCCTTCAGTATCCAATAGTCTCTTATGCAGGGACTCCTCAAAGCGGTTTGCTCCTTCCCTCTGGAACTGTAAAAATAAAAAATATAATTACAACCCACCAATTCGTAACCAGAAAGCATAATACTTATTTTATATTATTAGAAATGACAATTTCAATGTTGAAGATTGGAGGCGTAGAACAGAAAGAATGATCGAGCGCTTTCAATTTTGAATAAAAGCATGTCTGTGCTTACAGTGTAAGCAGTGTTTAGGTGATAGGGTCAGAGTGTAAGCAGTGTATAGGCGATAGGGTCACAGTGTGAGCAGTGTTTAGGAGATACGGTCACAGTATGAGCAGTGTTTAGGAGATACGGTCACAGTGTAAGCAGTGTTTAGGAAATACGGTCACAGTGTAAGCAGTGTATAGGAGATACGGTCACAGTGTAAGCAGTGTGTAGGAGATACGGTCACAGTGTAAACAGTGTGTAGGTGATACAGTCGTTTCATTCTCCACAATCACGGTACTTTTGGTTACCTTATAAGTATTACAGTGACTCACATTGGTTGAATTGGCACATGAATACACATGTGAGCAGTAACGCCACGTCAAGGCTTCAACCCTTGTTACTGACCATTCACACACACCATACTTTGCATTCATCCGCATTCGGTATTCCAGATGTTTTGCACTACACCTCCCATGATGGTTTGCCAACATTATGGGAGATGTAATTCACAGCATCTGGACTGACTAAGGTTACCTACCTCTGAACTATGCCGTGATCACAGTACACAATGTTGAAGTTGCTGTGCAAACAGGAGCAGCTTGTCATGTGTCAGATGCCACTTCATTAGTTATAAATTCAATACTCCACCCTGGAGACGAGCAACAAACATGGGCTTCTTCATTCCTCTTCATGTACTTCGTGTCCCATAGGAGAACATGCTTGTCAGAGCTGTGACACACACAAAAAGAAATAAACTGGTTAGAGTAACTGGCATAACAGACACAGTGCATGCAGACTTGCGTGCCACATACATACAGCAGACAGACACAAAGATTGTGGGAGACACACCGGATTAAATATAAGAATTGGGAGTACCATACATACACAATGCACAAAGAGACGGAGATTACTGAATTCGGTGACCGACGGATTTGGTTGCAGATGTGGGGCTGTCCCTCTCGCTGGGGTGCAGTTTCTCATCCTTCTCTGGCGAGTGACTAGATGGCTGCGGTTTCATAGCAAAAAGCATGCCACGGCATATGATATCTAGGAAATAAATATTTTTCTGTGAAACTAGGGTTGTACACATCTAACACACAGGCCACACGTACTGTACAGCTCCCCATCTAACGCACAGCCCCCAAATATAATACACTGCCCCCCCACATGTAACAAACAGCCCCTCCATCTAACACACTGCCCCCCACATTTAACACACAGGCCACCCAATATACTTCACAGCCCCCCCAATAAACTGCGCAGCCCCCCCATATACAGCGCAGACCCCCCTATACAGTGCAGACCCCCCTATACAGCGCAGATCCCCATATATAGCGCAGACCCCCA